AATCTTTCATATTCTATTGCATGGTGAAATTTGTGGAAAGAAAAAATTGCATAAATCTTTATTTTAAAGTTTCAAAGAACAAAAAATTAGACTATCTGTTTAGGGTTAATTTTATTATTAAAAAGGGACTTTTACAATTCACCCCACCCCCTCTTGTCGTTTAGTAATTTAAGAGAGAGAGCAGAGAGAGAGAGAGAGAGAGAGAGAGGAGAGAGAGAGAAACAAGAGAGAGCATGATTGGGATAGAGAGAGAGAGAGAGGGAGAGAGAGGGGATGTGGGAGAGGGAGAAGGAGAGAGAGGGAGCGAGAGAATGAGAGAGAGAGAGAGAGAGAGAGAGAGAGAGAGAGAGAGAGAGAGAGAGAGGGAGGGAGAGATAGAGGGAGAGAGAGGGAGAGATAGAGAGAGAGAGGGAGAGGGAGAGGGAGAGGGAGAGAGAGAGATAGATTAGAGATAGAATGAGGGAGAGCGATTTAGACCTGTTAGTCGTGTACAATGTCCTTCGTGGCATCATACTAGTTTAATTTAGTTTTCTTTTCATTTAGGTCATGATTATTTGTATGTGGCCAATTTAGGCATAAGAGTATCAAAAATATCTAATTTAGTCTTTCAATTATATCAATTTTATCCCAAATTGTCCCGCATAAAGAAATTATAAAAATGGGACATAAAATTAATCTTAAATTTGCACCTTGCCTATACAAATGTGATCCCAATTTTTTCTTTAAGGAAAATTTTGGATTAATTATGTATAGTCAAGAGATTAAATTTGAGAAATGTAATATTTTGGAACTAGATTGTCCGTAGACAAATAGTTTGGTTTTTATTTTGGGCTTTTTCTATTTTGAACATCGGATAGCCCAAATATTAATCTTAATATTGTTCTGGTATGTATATCAAGAAGTTTGCATTGCTATTTCTTTGAGGGAGGTCAAGTTTTGCGATCGAGGCCTTGTTTTTGGGACATGGTATTGTTGGGACAACCTAAGCATGGGATGAGATTGGAGGAGGGAATACTCTAAATTGTTGGTGTAATTTTTATAAAAGAATTGAGAAGCATGCCACTGTCCATTGTAGTTCCTGATATAAATGGTTGCCTTTGTCGAAATTAAAAAAAAAAATTTGAAAGCCATCATCTTAGTCTTTCATTTATGTTGATTAGAATTACAAGGCTTTTTTGGTAAGAAAACTCATTTCTTTACGGCATATCCGTGTTATCACAAAAACATTCCCTTGGTATAATAACTTAACTTTTTATGGTTAGAAAATTGATTGATTTATTTCCAATATTGGCATGGTCGTGGCCGTAGATCGGCGACCACGTCTCTGATATACTTTCCATGATTTGATGTCCCCATCATTCTCCTGGGGTAGGAAAAGGTTGACTCTATCGAGTAAGTGTCCCGGGTGCTCTCACAGATCTCCAATGCGTCGGGGTCAACTGCTGTAGCACCTCGCAATCTAACCATGTGTCTTTTGACTTTGGTTTTCCTCTTCTCCGGATCAAATATCTGCTTCGTCCACCATATCTTGTTGTTAACTTTCTCTGTCATAGGTGTTTTGGGAATGTTTGGAAGTGGATGTAATTTTGGGTTCTCATAAAGTGGGGTCACACAAGGCTGATGTAGAAGTGTGGATTTGGTGGGTTAAAATTGGAATTTTCATATGCTACTAGATCTTCTATGTTAAAGGAGGGATTGATATTGAATTCTATAGGCAGATCTACTACATAAGCATTATCGTTGATTTTTTTAATTATCTTGAATGATCATGCACTCTTAGCGTTTAACTTCTTAATCGTTCCTTACAGGATTAATTCCGAACGTATCCGCACCATCACTGAGTCACAAACATCAAAAGTTTTAAATTTTTGTTTAAGATCAGCATAAAGTTTATAATCATCATTGCTCTTTTCAATCTAGCATGCAATTTCTTTATGAAGGTCATGTATATGCGATGCAAATGAGGATGTAGAATTAGAAATCCTATACCTAGAACACATGGGTATGAGATCTAGCGGCTGTTTAGGTTTGAACCCATAAATAATTTCAGATGGACTTAGGGTAGTGTTACGGTTCACAGAATTATTATAGGCGAACTCAGCTGTGGGGACTATGGAATCCCAGTCCTTAATATGCTAACTTACTAAGGATTGTAACAGATTACCTAAGCTCCTATTGACTATCTTGGTTTGACTATCAGTTTGTGCATGAAAGACTATGGAGAATTGCAATTTATTGCCCATTTTCATCCATAGGGTTTTTCCAAAAATAACTGGTGAACTTGACATTACAATCCGATACAATGGTTTTGGGAAAACCATGTAAGCGGACGACCTCATCGAAATAAAGTTTAGCAATGTGGGAGGCGTCAGATGTATTGGAGCAAGGTAGAAAATGGGCCATTTTGAAAAATTATTCGACCACAACACAGATTGCGTCATTCCTACGAATGGTCTTGGGCAGGCCTAAGATAAAATCCATACTAACATCCTGCCAAGGACAACTGGGGATAGGCAGAGGGGTGTAGAGACCAGTGTTTTGTTTGCGTTGCTTGGCCAGCTCACACGTGTGATAGTTGCTGACCATTCTACCAACATCCCTCTTCAGGCTGGGCCAAAAGAAACAATACTCCACAGCTTCTATCGTCTTATCCCGACCGAACTGTCCAGCGAGGCCTCCGACGTGGAGTTCCCAAACAAGAAATTCCCTAAGTGAGGTGCTGGCGATGTAAAGCTTCTGAGCTTTGAAGAGATAACCATCCTTCCGAAGGAAATTGTCCATGAGGCGTGTGCTACCTGTGGCTAAGAGAGAATAAGTCTCATTAAAGTCGGGACATTCCAAATAGTCCCTTTTTATTTGGTCAAATCCCACGACTTCAGCCCTCATCTCAGTGGTTGTCATCATATGATGACTGAGAGCATCTACATGTTTATTTTCAACTCCCTCCTTTTGTCTAAGAGTATAAGTGTACTCCTGAAGGAATTCGACCCATAGACCGTGACATGCGTTCAACTTTTTTTGGGAGTTGATATAAAACAGAGCCTCGTGATCTAAGAAAATACAGACTCTTGCGGGAGCAAGTAGTGTCGTCAATAACGAAGGGATTGTATCTCAGCATATAACTCCTTGTCATACGTGGAATATCGCTGTTGAATGTCATTTAGCTTTTCAATGAAATAAGGTACAGGGTGACCTTCCTGTGATAGGACTCCTCCAATTCCAACCCCCAAAGCGTCACACAGGACACTTCGAAGACTTTTGAGAAATCAGGAAGTCTCATCACTGAGACTTCCATCATATTTTTCTTAGGGGCTGTTTGGTTGCCTAAATTAGGAGGGTAAACTAAAACAATTACATGCATTTACTAAATTGGGTTGTTTGATTAATTTTGAGTGGAAGAAAAGAAAATCCTCCAAAGCATTAGGCATGTATTAGGAGGCGTGTTTCGTGTGAAATAAAAACTCGCTCATATTTAGCGGGTTATAAATTCTCTAGATGAATTCTGTCCCAACATCATTGCTGTTCAGCTTCATTGCTTCGCAGGAGGTGTAAGATTGCACGAGTGGCTTCTTTGGCTCATTCGTTCTAGTTCGACTTTGCTCCTTCGACGACATTCCCTTTGCCCATCGAATCGGAAGTTGCGACATTTTCATCGGAAGTAAGTATGGGAGCTCACAAGTTCTGAAGGTAACTTTCTCCCTTTCGCACGCTTCTTCGGCCAAATCCCGTCAATCCTTCGAACTACATGATTTGGTAAAAAATCAATATTTTTTCCTCGATGAGATATAGCGCTTTCACCATCTTCTTGATGCGCACCGCAATCAATCTCTTCAGCTCCAATGGCTCATCTGTAAGGTTTGCTCAAGAAGGCATTCGAGCTCTCTGTTCTTTGTGATGTAGAGGTCAGCGTCATCATCTTCTCACCGCAGGGGATGGTGCATGAGTTTGCGAGTACCAGTTTCTCTTTCTCTACCTCGTTGGTTTATTTGATATTGCTTTGATGTTTGGTTTTTGTGGTTGATTCCGAATTTCGGACTTGGTGATTCAAAACGAGCTACGTTCTGCATTTATAGAATTTTAGTAGTCCGGTTTTCAGATTTCTACCGACGAACATGTTCTTGTTTCGCCAGGAATCTTTTCTTTAGCCTTTGTTTTTCCTTTTTAGAAGTATTTGTTTTCTGTAATTGTTGATTCTCATTCTTTTTCCTCCCCGTAAATGTTTTCTTCGATTGAGGAACTATATTAGTAAAGTAAAGCGAACAACAATAATTTTGGATGAGAGGGGTTCACATCATCCAAATCTTAATGTGAGAAGAAGAGCTAGCTACTTGTTTATGAGAGCAGTGAAGCTACTGAAACCCAAGCTAGTGCCTTTCGTTGATACAATTCTACAAGTATCCCGTTCCTTTTCCTTTTTTCTGGGAACCATTGACTCCATTTCCTCTGCTTTGTTGTGTGAAATTCATACTTCTTTTATGGATTTGTTATCAATGGGATCATATCCAATCATTTCATCCTACTGCAGTGTTTACAAGATGCTCTCCTTCAATACACAAGTTCAGATTGGACATCCAAGGATCTTATGTATTCTGGTTTTGAGGATGGTAGTCATGTATTTGAGGTAAATTAGCTTAACTTCTTAGTTCGGAAAAGCAGTCTTTGTTGAGTTCAGCTTCTATAAAAGTATTATTGCTTTACATCATCAATTGAAAATACCTCGGTATCTCAAACAATTGGTTTGTTGATTGGAGTGGAAGAAATATCTTCAGAAAAGCAGTCAGAATACCTGGCAGCACTGCTTAAACCTCATTATGGACAAAGTAAGAACAAGGGTATTGCCCCATCTCCCAATGGCATTAAACCAATTGCTTGTGGATAGTGAGGTATGATTTCATCCATCCCAGTTACTTTTTTCTTTCTATTTTAAGAATGGTAGGATTCACTTCTTGGAGTACTCTTCATACTTAAGTAGCTTGCTGCTCAAAATTTTTTGCTTGATTTGATATTGTCAAGGCGGCTTAGGTGGAAAACTATTAGAATTTCGAATGCTGATTATTTGTTGCCATGATTAAGATTATAATTATTTTTTTGGCCTAAATTTACCAACAAGGGAAACAAGTGATTTTGTTTCAGCATATAGATGCTTGCCCCTTTTTTTATCCATATAATTGGAGTGATATTATTTGCTTTGGGTGCTTTAAGCAAAATGTGATCCTTACGAAATGATGTGAAGCAGATAACCTATGCCCACAATGAATTAGTGTCTTTTGAGTTATGCCATCGTTTTGTAAAGTAAAGTTATTCTTCTATTATACAACCCTCATCATCATCAGAGCTTTGGGTGCTTTACTGGGTCTTATTGGACATCCAAGGATCTTATGTATTCTGGTTTTGAGGATGGTAGTCATACATTTGAGGTAAATTAGCTTAACTTCTTAGTTCGGAAAAGCAGTCTTTGTTGAGTTCAGCTTCTATAAAAGTCTTATTGCTTTACATCATCAATTGAAAATACCTCGGTTTCTCAAACAATTGGGTTGTTGATTGGAGTGGAAGAAATTTCCTCAGAAAAGCAGGCAGAATACCTGGCAGCACTGCTTAAACCACTTTATGGACAAAGTAAGAAAGCTGTGTTAGTTTTTTCTTGAATTTCCATCTTTGTGGCAACTTACCTAAGTGAATTAAATGAGCTATGTGGTAATTACTTGTTTCGATGTTGAGATGCTACTCATAGATGCAAAGGCTCAAGGGCTCGAGGAAAGTTCACCTAAAGTTATGAGCTCATAACAGATTATTGCAACTTTAAATGCACTTAGCAAGGTCAGTTTCTATCTACTGTAAAATACATCTTATCATGAGTTTACTCTACAAAATGTTCTAAATTTGTTCCTTAGAGATGGAATTCTCTCATGTATACTGCGCCGGTGTAGATGATGTTAGTATTTGATTGCTGGCTGAAGAATTTGACTCTATCTGATAAATAGTTTTGTTCTTATTCCTCCCCATTTATATTCCACCATCTCATAAAGTAGTACAAACAAATTAATACTTACCATTGCCAGCTTATGGTCTAGGGCTTCAGTGAGCGGACAGTGACAGCTAGTCGGCCTTCAATTGGTTTGATGTTCAAGCATGCAAGTGACTGTGTTTTTTTTATGAATGTTCACTTAATTTAGTACTTTTCATTCCCCAATTGCGAGCTATTTTTTCTTTTTTCCTATTTAATTCAAAATTTAGGCTTGCAATATTTATGGGTGCAATGTTGCTCCTTTTTATTTCTGGATGGTTCAACACCCAGAACTTTTTTCTCAAAAAGAAAGAGTAGATGTTTCTAAAATTTTATTTTTGAATTCTCAGACTTTGGATATTCTCCTACAAAGACTTGTCACATTTCTAAATATCAAACCTTTGCATAATAAGGTATCAAGTGGGTCCATATATCTACAACAACCTATTTCATTATGTATCTCAATATTTCTTCAAAATATGCAGGTTACGTCATATCTTCATCGCATGGTTGAAATATTAGGAACAAGGGTACGTATTGCCCCATCTCCCAATGGCATTAAACCAATTGCTTGTGGATAGTGAGGTATGATTTCATCCATCCCAGTTACTTTTTTCTTTCTATTTTAAGAATGGTAGGATTCACTTCTTGGAGTACTCTTCATACTTAAGTAGCTTGCTGCTAAAAAAATTTATGCTTGATTTGATATTGTCAAGGCGGCTTAGGTGGAAAACTATTAGAATTTCGAATGCTGATTATTTGTTGCCATGATTAAGATTATAATTATTTTTTTGGCTAAATTTACCAACAAGGGAAACAAAGTGATTTTGTTTCAGCATATAGATGCCTGCCCCTTTTTTTATCCATATAATTGGAGTGATATTATTTGCTTTGGGTGCTTTAAGCAAAATGTGATCCTTACAAAATGATGTGAAACAGATAACCGATGCCCACAATGAATTAGTGTCTTCTGAGTTATGCCATCGCTTTGTAAAGTAAATGAGAGAGAGAGAGAGAGAGAGAGAGAGAGAGAGAGAGGCATTAGTGGGGGGGAGGAGAGAGAAGCAAAAAATGGAGAGAGAGAGAGAGAGAGAGAGAGAGAGAGAGAGAGAGAGAGGCAATAGGGACAGAGTAAGCAAGAGAGTGGCAATAGAGAGAGGAGAGAGGGATAGAGAGAGAGCGCAAGAGCTGAAGATTGCACTTGGCATATATTAATAAAGGGAAATTACATAAAATAAAAGTGCTGAAACGGTTCAAAAGCAAAAAAACAAAAGTGGAAGTTGTTTACATTAACCAACAGAACCCATACAACACTGCAGGACAAGGAACAAGCAAATGAAAACAAAGAAAGGACCCCCTCAAGCGAATGGGAGAGATCCTTCGTTGGTACATAACATACCCAGTGAAGAAAGAAAGGAAGCCCCTCCAGAGGGGGGAGGTATCAGAAAACGGTTGGAATCAGCCACAAGGGCTGAATGATACCCCATTGCTCCAGCAGAGGTCCATCAATCTCACTACGCATATTACATACCAAAGAAGAGTCAACTCTCATGGGGCACTTGAGGGGACCAAGTCCCCACCTGTGAATTCGAAGGAAGTCTTCTTCCTCTTCCTGGGAGAGGACGTGAGCGGCCCAAGGCTGAGGATTTCTCTCTCAAAATGCGATTTGGTGAATCTAGAATGTTGCTTACGGAGGTTCACGATCCGCGTGGCGGTGTCCTCCAGCTGCTTTAGCTTGTCAGCCTTAAACTGTAATGAAGGCTCGGGAGTCTGGATGCTCCCTTGGGGTTTGGGGTCTATGCTATTATGCTCGATTTTATGGTTGCCACCTTTGTAATTGCGAGCTTTGGCTTTCCCTTTTCTTTTACTGGTAGCAATGTTCCACGCACCCAAGGAGGAATCATCCAATCCCTCGGCATTGTCAGGGACAACATTCCCTTTGGGTTTCAGCTGACCAGGAGAGCCCATCCCATTCATTTCCACCGAACTGATGTGATCCTTGCCCATCCGAGTCTGCTGATTTGGAGGGGGAGGGTTGTCTTTGGGAGGGGTCTTGGCCATACACACTCCATCATAGTGGCCAACAAGGCCACAATCATAACAGAAATTGGTGTGACCTTCATACTCGACTCTTTGGAAGAAACGACCATGGATTCCATTGATCCAAACACCGGGGAAAAGCTTCTGAGTGAGGTCTATCCTCACACAAATTCTAGCATAAGATGATTTCCCCCAGGAACTCGTGTGGGAGTCCATCCACAGGGGTTCTCCGATCATATTGGCGAGCCGGGTAATGTTGTCGATATCCCAATAAATGAGAGGAAGCTGAGGCAATCACACCCAAATTGGGGACTAAAGTCCTTGAAGGGAGTTCGGCGAGAAGGAAGAGGTCCATCTGTTCATTCCGATGATGTTGCTAGCAACAATCCACAGCCCGCTAGCGAGCACAGCATCGCGAGCTTCGCTACTTTGAAAGAGGCATATGAAGGTGTTTAGGAGCTGTGGTGATGATGTCAAAATCCCCAAAGTGAGACCACCTTCACTTAATTTCACTAAGGAGGAAAGGGAAGGACACCCGGCGACCCAAGAGTTTGGCCACAAGAGCACGGTCAAGCTTTGCGATATTGTCCTGGACTGCATCCAGTTTCGGCTGCATCGACTTGCCATCCTCGGCAAGAAAAATTTTTTTTGCCATCTTGTTCAACCGAACCAATTGGACCTTATTCCAGGCGAAGGGACCAGTAGGTAAACTTCTTTGGGGCATCGGGTTGCTCGTGGGGGGCTGTTTCTGCTGCACAACACCTTGCTAGTTGGAGGAGGCAATACCCCAAATAGGTTGCGGGCAAGATCCCCCAGCAGGATTCTGCGTGGGAGCTGTACTGGACGGAATTTCACGCCTACAGCTACTAGATTCGACCAAGTTCATACCATCACACACGATAGATTTAAGAGGAAATTCGGTGGTGATTCGTCCAGCAACCCCACCCGGGATGATCGGACTACAACAGCTAACCTGGGCGGGATCAGGTTGATCGAAGCTGAGTTTCTGCTCGTCCATGGCCATTTCACAAACAGGACAACGACTGGGATGTGGCTGAACTTCCATAGGAGAATCAGAACCCTCCCCTGCTTCGGTCATTACGGTTTGAGAATCTGCATCTTCACCCGCCTCCTCCATATCCGCGTTGGAGGGGTTGACCGAGCTTTCCATATCATCACCTGAGCTACCCGCCTGGGTATTAACCCGGTTAGCCAGAGCATTAGCACTTGTGAAGAGCTCCCGTCCTGTGGCCCAGTGGAGAGATCTCCCTATTCCAGGCGAGAGTATCGCACTTCGTACTTGACCACCTTGGATCTGAGGCAGAGAGCCATCGCACTCAGCGCCATGTCCATCCAACACCTGCTGGTGAATCTCCTGGAGGGGATTTCCGATGACTTGCTTCTCACGGTAGGGTGGCAACATTCCAATCCGACCCTGGGAGTTGTTCTGCAAGAGCTGAGACAGCCTAGCATCTGCAAGGCTTTCTTCATCCTTGGACCGAGACAAAATAGCCTGAGCTTGTGAGCTAATCTGCTCCCAAGAATTGCTCGCAACAGCAGCCTTGGTCTGAGCGGCTGCCTTAGCCTTAGGAGAAAGAACCGAGTTAGGGTTTTGCTTTGTGGTGGCCGCCGCCACCTTGGCATCCGGGTAGAGAACCTTCCACCGGTTACCCGGGCTGAATGACGGGTTGAACGACACCCGCAACTCCGGGTTAAGCAAGTCCGCCCCAGACACCTTCTGGGGAGAGCCCTCCACCATGGCTTTGCCAGATCTGGACGGAGTAGTTCCGCTCGACGCATACTGCAGTGAACCCCGAAGGTCACCACCCCGCGTTTTGACCTCCCAACGACCCTCGACATCAGAACCAGACCTAGCTGGATCTCAAACTTTACCTTTCCCCCGAACTGCTGCAGGCTTGCTCGGAGAGCGATCCCCAGCCTTTTTCGAACCTCCCGAACCAATCCCAGACCGCCTCCGTTCGTCTCCCGTCGCACTTCAGTCGCCACCTCCCCCGCCTGAGCGGGGAGGTGACCTTCGGTCACCCCCCGCCATACCCAGAGAGTCTCTCTCTAAACAAAAACAAGAGAGAGAATAAAGGGGGGAAATGATGCGATTCAGAGAGAGAGAGAGAGAGAGAGAGAGAGAGAGAGAGAGGGAGAGAGAGAGAGAGGAAGAGGAAGAGGGAGAGGGAGAGAGAGAGAGAGAGAGAGAGAGAGCTGAATAGTGCATTTGCATTACTAAAAGAAACTTAAAAGCTGTTACAAAAAACTAACTCCAGAGCAGAAAAAGAAAAACCCAAAAGACAAACTAAATTCTATCACTTTCCCCCCTTAACAAGTACAACAACGTCGAGGGGAAGGTGTCACTAGCCACATCCCGGAAAATAAAATTATCAGCCAACGCCAAAGAGGCACAATGATCTGCCGGCCGGTTACTTTCACAGGGAATATGTTGGAAGATAACCTGCTTAAAATTCAAGAGAAAGGAGAGGTCAGGGCCCTCCACCCGGCGGTGGACCTCACCGAGCCGATTTCCAAGCATTTGTAGCCATAGAACCGCATTATAACAATCGCTCTCGATGATAATCCCTTCCACTTCAAACATCCAATCCTCTAGCAGCTTACCGATCGCTGCCGCCGCCATCAGTTCCGCCTGCATAGCATCCTAGTGCTCCACCCGACATCCCGCAACAAGAATGAGCCCGCCCCCAGTATTCAGGATAATGATGCCAATCCTGACAAGGTTGGACCGCTGCAGCGAAGCATCAACATTAAACTTAAGCCAACCTGGGGGGGGGGGGGGGCCCAAGGGGGGGGGGGGGCACCATAATTTGTAGGAAGGCAGCCCAAGAGGCTGGTTAGTGCTCCATTGCCCCAGAATAGGCAATTTAAATGTTCTCGGCTGCAACGATAAAACAGTCGCTGCAATGACATACGGGGTACGATAAGAACGGCCATACCTCATATTATTCCGGGCGCGCCATAGTTGATATACTGCATAACAATAAATCCTCCCAATACAAGGGTTGATGATCATCCCGTTGGCAAGCACCTGCAGCAGCTCCGATAGGGAATTAACATGCGGCATATCAAAACCCCACTTCCACAGAGTGCTCATAACACATATCAGCTTATTGCAACGGGCAGTGCAGTGGTCCAGTGTCTCGTTCTCCATACACCCCCACAGACACATAGGCGAGTCCGTTAAACCCCTCCGCATCAGCCATACGTTGCACGAGATGGCCCCTTTAAGAACCCGCCACCAAAAAAAATTCTCCCGAGGGTGAAGTTTAAGCTTCTCGATCCAGCTGTAATTGAAAGCATTGCCCCCGTCCGACATAGCCCTATAAGCCATCGCAGCCACCGAGGAGCTGGCCAGGGAGTAAGAGAGGGTGGGGCGGTCCACCCCAATGCCCCTATTGATGGGAATGTTCACAATCCTTGACACCATTATGTTCCTAAAGAATTCCTCAACCTTCGCCACGTCCCAATTCAAATTATGATCCAAAAGTTGGCCAACCTCCGCATCCTCCAGCGCCCCCACGTTCACAAAGGTCGGCCAACAAGCAATGCACCGGTCCAAGATCCAGGTGTCATGCAGCACCTTCAACCCCTGTCCATTTCCAATTTCCCACCTAATCACCGGCCTGAGGGCACGAGCCCCATCCTGGATAATTTTCCACACAATAGACACATATCTCCCACTCGGCTTATTCCACAAATCACTTCCATACCTTGCCGTTAACACCTGGTGCAGTAGTGACTCCTGATCCGAAAGAAGGTGCCTTGCCAGTCTAGCTCGCAACGCACTTTTCCACCTACAAAGCCCGCGAAAGACCAAGCCACCCTCCGCCTTTGGAAGACAGAGCTCCTCCCAAGCGATATAGTGCATCCCTCGATTACCCTCCTCCTTCTACCAGAGGAACTTCCTGGCAATCCGCTCAATGTCATGAAGCACCCCCATGGGGACCACGGTGTGTGTAATCAAAAACGTGGGGGCCGCAAAGAGGGAGGTCTTGATCAACAGTGAACGCCCCGCCAAAGATAACTGCTTCGCACCCCATAGATTCACCTTCTCTTGGGTGCCTTTGATCAAACCGCCGAAATCAGCCTTTTTTAGCCTGTGTAACACCATCGGCAGGCCCAAGTAATCAAAAGAATTCACCCTCCGAAATCCCAAGCTTCTAGCCATCTGCCGTTGTCTCCAAAGAGGGCATTTCATGTTTAACAGCACCGCCGATTTACCGCAATTAATCCGCTTCCCAGTCCAGCTACAGTACCCCGCAAGAAGCTTCAGAATCAACGTCGCATTATAACGCGAAGCCTCAACAAAGATCAGAATGTCATCAGCATACAGTAAGTGCGAGATCCTCTCCGAGTGTCTAGCAATTTGGATTCCAAGCTCCTCCCCCCTCTGTCTAAAGGCCTTGGTAAGAAGCTCTAAACACAGAATAAATAAATAGGGCGACAAAGGGCAGCCTTGGCGGAAGCCACTCTCCGCCTTAATCCACTTCGTCCTCTGACCATTGATCAAAATCGTGAATTTAGGCCAAGCGATGCACTTCGTGATCCACCGGGTAAACTTGTCACTAAAGCCCATGCATCTCATCACCTTTTCTAGAGTTTCCCAAGCCACACAGTTGTAGGATTGTTCCATGTCAACCTTCAACGCCATAAGACCAGATTTTTTAATAGAGACTTTGAATTTACCCATCACCTCCTGGGCAATCAAGCCATGGCTAGTAATACTTCTGCCCGGAACAAACGCCCCTTGCTCTTCTCCTATTATATTTCTTAGCACAGGCTTCAACCGGTTGATCAACACCGTGGCCACCACCTTGTAAAAGCTTTGGCACAAGCTGATCGGTCGGAACTTGGCCGGCTGATTGGCGTTGACTGTTTTAGGAATGAGCACAACCAAAGTTTCCTTCCAGCTCTCACACATAGTATTAGTACAAAAAAATGGATGATGGCACGAGTGACATCACCCTTAATAATTTCCCAGTAGAATTTTAAAAAGGAAGCAGTAATACCGTCGGACCCCGGGGAGCGGTTGTTACCAAGGCTGAATACCGCCTTTTGAACCTCCATCTCCGTTACGTTGGCCTCCAGCACCTCACTGATATGAGGGGGGATTTTGTCAGTCTCAAGAAAGTCCGGCCAATCATTTAAGCTCACCTACCTCTCCTTCCACTTCAACAGGAAGAAGCTCCAGAACTCATCCCGAATAAGCTTCGGATCATTAATAGTCTCCCCGTTTCTGTCAGTGATTTCCCTAATAGTGTTACTGCGATGACGGGCGGAAGCATTAGAGTGAAAGAAGTGGGAATTGGCATCCCCTTCCTCAATCCACCTCGTCTTAGCCCGTTGCCTCCACCACGTGGCCAGCCTTGCCAATGTGGCGATCAGCTCCCCCGCAATACGCCGAAGCTCACCATCCTGTTCCGCCGTAAAACCGGACGGCGAGCACTCAGCCTCCTGTAGCCACGCAATACGGGCTTCCAGCGTGTACTTAAGCTCCCCTAGCTCCTTGAGCCGATTGCGGCTCCAATAGAACAACGCCCTCAGCATCCTCAAACACTTCCGATTCAGGATGTCATCCGGGCTACCATAGTCTGGCTTAGCCCAATTCTTCCATACCAATTTCCAAGTAACCGGGTAGGTCAGCCAATTGTCCTCAAAGCGCAGCCATTTGGACCCCCTGCCGTGAGCCGTAGAATCCAGCGACACCAGAAGCGGACAGTGGTCTGAGGCAACACAGATAAGGTGCTTGACAGAAGCCAGCGGAGCCAGCCGCAGCCCCTCCGAGTTCATCAAGACACGGTCCAAGCGCACCCAGATTTTACTACTTCCACTCTTATTGTTAGTCCATGTAAATTTGGGCCCCGAGAACCCCAAGTCATGGAGTTCATTATAACTCATAAAATTCGCCATTTCTTGGGCCCCCGCCGAGTAAGTAAATCGCCTGCCACCCTTCTTCTCCTCTTGTGCCAGACAACAGTTGAAGTCCCCTCCCACAAGGACCGGGTCTTGTTGACCTCATTTTTGTATGAGGTCACTAAGACCGCCATCCAATCCAGATTTAATCCTAGACCCTAGGATCCACTCTAGACCTTAGGAATCTTTCCTAGAACTAGACCTTAGAGTTTATTCTAGAGCCTAGGATTCCTTTAAATCCTAGATCTTAGAACTCTCCTAGATCTTAGGATCACTCCAACTTCAAATCAACCTCCACCTTTGATCAACCTCAATTTTAAATCAATTCCTATATTTAATCCACTTCAATTTCAATTTGATTCCTACCTGTGACCAATTTGAATCTCAAACTCCATCCAATTCAAGTCCAAATTAATTTAAATTTCAAATCAAATCCAAATCCAGAAGTTCAAACTCAAATTTAAACCTTTAAGGCCTTGTCCTAAAGACCCTTTTTAGATATTTCAAACATTTCAAAACCCAATCAAGTGGCCTCTGATTCAAGGTCTATCACTTGCAAAGTGATAAGACATGTCTCTAGAGGCTACCCTCCAACGTTGAGCTCATTCTGAGGTCTCTAACCCAGAATTTGAATTAAAATCCAGGCTGTAAAACCTTCAAATATTTACAGCCTATGCCACTGAACCTGACCCCTTTGAGATCTTGACCTGGAACCCTTATCCAAGCCTCCAATCACTTCCCAGACCCTTGATTTTAACCCTTTGAGCAGTAAAACTGCATTTTTCAGACCCATTTTTGACATAGTTGACCAATAGGTCAAAATTGACCAAAATACCCCTATGGGGCTCAAATAGGGATTTCAAACCAAATGAGCTCCAAATGGGATGCAATCACCTCCAACAAATTCCAAATGTCATTTCAAATCTTTTGAACCTATTCCCAACCCTTGAGTCAACCTGGTTGACCAAGTCAACTGGTTTGACCCAAGGGGCCCTTTAAGGGTCCAAACATGTGTTTTGACCCAAATGACCTCTCTAAGTCACCCAACCACTTCCATTAACCTTAAAATATCATTTCAAACCTGTTGAGCCCAAACCCAGACCCTGGGTAACCTAGGTTGACCAAACAAGCCCTTAAGGGTTCAAATGGTGATTTTGACCAAATCGACCCCTCCAAACCCTGGGACACATCCAATAGACTCAGGATGATATTCTGAATTTGTTGAATCCATTTCTAGCCCCTTAACCCAACTGGTTGACCAAGTCAACCAGTTTTGGCCTAGAAGCCCATTAAAGGCCCATTAAGCCTTCTTAATCCATTTGACATGCATGGCTCTTGGAACCACCCTCCAATCCACCTAATCAACTCATTTGAATATACCTAAATGAAAATTCATAACCCTTGATGGAGTTGACTGGTCAACCAGTCAACTCAAGGCTTAAGGGACCATTTGTATGGTCAAACCTTTCAACCCATTGAACCTAGCTCAAGCCACACCCATCCAGCCACTTGGAAAGACTCCATGACCTGCTTAGATGCCACATCAGCCCCATTGACCAGTTGACTGGTCAACCTGGTCAAACCCAAGCTTAAACCTCTTCTAGAAGGCTTTATCACATGCTAAGCCCCTTTCCCTTGATTTAAGCTGCTTTAGGCCGACCCCTTAATGTCCTAAAGCTCACTTGGAGCTCTCCTAACCAGGCTCAGGGCCTGTTTAGCCTTAAATGGCAATGTCTCCCCCACTCATCCCAAAGCCGCCCAATAGGAGTGAGGCGTGCCTAGCCTTTGGGTCAGCCTTCTGGCTGTCCCAGGGACACTTGGCAACATCTGGGGACCTGGTGAGTCAATCCGAGCCATCCAATCTAGCCCAGCTCGTTTGAATAGGGGGAAAGGCAACTTTTAGGCATTATTGATCAAAGCAGCTTCTCTCATTAACCCTAGCCTCCCAGATCGAACTCTCAGTTCGTTTTGAATCTCCAAAGCTTCCTCTACCTCCCCACTACAAAATCCAAGTGGTTGCACGTCACGGCGGCGAGTTCTCCGCGAACCACCACCTAGACCGTCCCAAGCCTGTAGCAGTCGATCCAGACGTGTTCGAGCTCGGATTTCTGCTGGGATCTTCACTTGGACAATCTACAAGCTCATCCATCCAGAAAATTCGAAGATCTAACGTATAACTCTCTAAACCTAGATCTAGTTCACATTAGTTAGATCTAAATAGCTTTATGCTTTTAGGGTTTTAGCTAAAACAAACTATTCCCCATTATTTCTGTTCATGCCTACTCTTTGTGTTTAAAATTTCAAGTGAAATGATCGATCCGATCGAAAGAACGAGGCAAAAGACATTTTCTTAGGGCGTCACTCACGGTTTCCGGTGAGTGTACATTTTCTGGACCGTTGATCGTTCGATCAACGGTCCAGATCGAGCCCTCCCGCGGCCTGATCTGACTGCGCCTTCGATCTGTCGTTCGATCAGCCGTCCGACGAGATCAGGGCCGTCCATTCGGAACAGCGGGATCGAATCTCCGCCGTTTGATCTTCTCCTGGTGAGATCAAACCGCGGGATCTGATCTCAGCCGTTAGATCGAACCCGCGGTTAATCCAATGGCTGTCAAGAGCCGCTGACGTGGTTAAGTGGAAACCGCGTGAAGCGGCCCGCGGCCGACGCGTGTCCCCGCCGTCACGCGGTTTCGATCCGCCAATCCGAGCGCGCCGCGTGTCTGACCGCCCGCGTTTAATTAAGGAAAAATGTGTTTTAATTGATTTTTAATTACAAGAAACTTTGGAAAATTATAGTAAATTAAATATAGAACCAAAAATGAGTATAATATATCATTTTTCTTCATTTTTTTCATCTATTTTATTTTAAAAATAAAATCAAACCCTTTTGGTTATTATTTTATTAGTAATTTAAGAAATACAGAATATGTATTTTATTTTTTAATTAATTATGCATAAATTATTTTATCTGAAATTTGGCATGCATGTTGTTGAGTGCATGGCTGGTCTCCAGAAAAATTTTCAATATTATTTGAATAGATTTTGATGGTATTTTGAATTATTGGAGCTTATTAACCTTTTTTTATATTTAATTAAATATTAAGTATTTTAAAAAAAATACAAGGAAAATGTTTCATTATTTTCAAACTTCTATGGAGATCAGTGGATCCTTCAACTCATCAAAATGTATTTTAATAATATATTTAATTATTTTATAATATATATTCCTATTTATATATATATATATATATCCATTTATATTTATGTATTTTAATATATATTTTGAAACTATATATATGTAAATCTTTAAGTGTCTAAGAAGTCATTTGAGATCTTAAATGTTGATTAAGCATATTTGAATAGAAATAAAGGGGATGATTAGTGAATAATCATTTCTTGATTATTCACTAATTTTGTCTTATTATGTTAATTAGTTAATTGCATGCTTAAGGTCACACACCACTTAGTCTAAGGCTCTCCTAGATTTAGGTATTGAATGTGTTTATGTGGTTCATGCATGCCTTGTGTATTGAGTATGAGGGTTAGTTCAAACATTGATTCAAGTCCATCAAGATAGTGACATAATTAAGGACAATAATTAAGGATTCATGTATAGAAACTTAGAAAAATTTCCATTAATTAGGATTCACTTTCCCTTGAGTTGAAACTTTGAACATTTGAACTTAGTGACACCCTCAACCCTAGAGAAATTTTCACTGATTTTTTGAGATCATTAGGTCCCCTAATTAATTTTCTAAAGTCTTAAACCCTTAATTAAGCCTTTAAAACTTCTAAAAATTGTAATAAATCCAATTTAAATCCAAAAATTACATATAAACCCTCAAACTGACCAGAATTCAGTCCTTAATCTATGATAATTGAAATCCCTTGATTTGACAGCAATTTAACCCCAATTTAATTTTAAGTGAAAATCTCAATGTTTAATTGAGATAATTAATTAATAATAATTAAAAAATCAAAAAATCTCCCAAACACTTGGGGATCCTCCTTAGTTATTCCTGACCTTTGGAGGTGTTTTCAAGAGATTGGGAATTTGTTTGAAGCAAAATCACAAAAGAGACCCTCTAATTAAGAAATTCCTAAAATTCATTAAAATGCCAAACTTCAATAATTCATAACTAAATCTAGAAAAATCCAAATTACCCAAACTCACTTGCATTCAACTCATAGTGATGTCTAGTATTTATTAAAAATATTAAAATTCCAGAAATTTGCAATATTTTAAAAAGTCAACATTTTTGGTCAACTCTAGGTCAAAATCGGGTTAAAACTTCTAAAAATCATAACTTTTGATAGAAAACTCCAAATTGAATGTACCAACTGTATAACAACTCATAATTAGGTCTAGTATTTATTAAAAATCTGAAACCTTTAAGATTAACTCTAATTTTGAAAGTCAAATTTTGACCCCTTAGTTAGCGTGTCCGGATAACCTCCAAAACTTATTAACTCTCCCAAATTCCAGAATTTTCTTAATAGGCTAATAAAATTCTCAACTAATCCATTAAAATCAGCAACCAACTCCTTTTAATATTAATCCACCTCTTTTAATTCTAACCAATTTAAATAACTTAATCAACCCCGATTACTACTGGGTAACCCAGGCCTACGAGGCTATTAGCTTAGCCCCAAGGAAGGTGAGATAAACTTCACGGCCTCGGTGTGAAACAAAGGTAGTAATCAATTAACTTCTAAAATATTTCTAATTAAAATTCTTAATTCATTAATATTTAAATTTTAATCTAAACCCCCCTTCTAAGCCTTAACAAATCCAAACTTTTAGACAACATTAACTAATCACCTACATTAGGATCTATCCCAGCCACACGACCTTTCTCACACACTTTAGATGATTGGCTAGACAACCAACTCTAGATCTAGGTTAGGCCAGTGTTTACTTTACTGCTGTGTGCCGGATTTTTTTTGTAAGTTTTCACTGCATGTTTGTGGATGAAATTGCTTTGCTGTGTCTGCTT